GGAAAATATTTTGGACTTTGCTTCTCCTACCTTATCTTTGTTACCAAATATTCTCAATTTGATGTTATATACATATAAGAGTGGCAATGGGGCCCTGGTCAAATGGTTGGTTGGTTTGTCTTTGGTGTCTGTGTGTTAGTAATAGCGCTTTCTCTGTAGTGTTTTAAAGTGCAAATAAAGGTTAATTATGTGTTTAAAGAAAGCTAACATTCACACAATCATAATATTAAAAACAGAAGATGCTCGCATGGCATAATTGAATTGGATCAAAGAGTGATTAACATTGAAAAGAGCGTTTGGATTATGTTGTAATCACTTTCTATGCTGAGATAATCGTTTAGGTCAATGCAATTTTTAACACATTTTTTTTGCTCCAACAATTTGAAAAACATAGGTTGCATGTGCTCGGGACTATTTCTGGTGATGATTTTCTCAACTGCTCAGTTTTGGGTAGATGGGTTTTTTTTGCTTTTTACAAAATTTAGATTAAATTCATAATATCCTTGTTATTAATTTCTTTAATTAAATAATTATATATAAATGCTCCTTTCAATATTAAATAACTTCAATTGAATGTGTTTTATATGCCTTTTTAAATCCATATGCCACAATTTGATTGGAGTATGTTTTCAAGTGGGATACAATTGATCTTAAACCCTGGAACATAATTGGATTGTATATCCAAATTAATCTCAACCATAGATTTTACATTGAAATATTTATACCGTATGAAAAATTGATTCTCAATGTAAAATAAATAGGCCCATAGATGGTATAAATATAAAACTTGATTCAAGCTAAATCTCTCTCTCTCTCTCTCTCTTTTCCCTATATATCAAATTACAAGAAAATATTCTAAAAAAGTAAATTGTAGAAAGAAACAACGTTGTTGTTGAGAAAAGAACATGAGCATAATATATATATTATTAAACTTTTTACATATATAACTAATTTGAGAGTCTCCCAAAGATGTAGTAAGAGAACGAGTCAATTATTCATTAGAATTACAAAATGGACAGTGATGTTTCTAGACAAGATCTTTTTTCTAAAGAAAGTCTCTATATTTAGTCCTCTCATAAAATGCATAAAATACTAAATTTTGAGGTAATATGGAAAGTGATCTATTGAAGTGATTAATGAGAAGCATTTTTTTTCCCAACATACGTTAAGAAGCTTATCTCTCTTGTCCGATGGTGACGATCACGTGAAATGTTCCGCTGCTTGTAGCTATAAACTGGACACTTCCAATTCTTTGGCCTTCTAAGAATAGACATGAAATAAAACAACTCTGTGGTGGGAAACTTTCATATTTTAGATAAGACTTTTAGCTGAAATGCTAACACAGTTCATTAGATGAAAAGGAAAAAGACCAATGAAATGTATTAAATTGGGATGTAAATATGTAATATAATTAATTGGGTACAAAAAGTAACTCAAGTAAAAAATTTGGAAGTATTTATTATTTTTTTACCAAATTAAAAAAGATCAATCACGTCACAATAATATGCAAAAAGTTACAAACTGAAATCAAGAGTTCAGCAACTGTAACTTTAAATTTGAGAAAAAACTATGCTCAGTCATTTCATAAAAAAATCTATGCTTGGTCAGCCGCAGAGCTAAGAAAGCTAAAATTTACCAGAGATATATCATTTAATAAACTTTAGGCAGCCGTTTCATTTTGAGCAGCAAGCCTCTTTCTAGCTTCCTCAATGATGGACAACTTGATACCCCGGCCTTTGGGAAGAGACACCCAAGGCTTTGTTCCTTTGCCAATAATGAAGACATTACCCATGCGAGTCGCAAATTCATGACCAGTTGCATCTTGGACGTGGATGGTCCCAAAACTTCCCTTGTGCTTCTCCCTATTCTTGATGACACCAACACGACCTCTATTCCTTCCCCCAGTAACCATAACAACACTCCCCACATCAAATTTGATGAAATCAGTGATTTTGTTATTTTCCAGGTCCAGTTTGATGGTGTCATTAAGCCTTGATTACTGGATCGGGATAGCGAATGGTGCGACCATCATGTGTTCAAATAGGGGATGCCCTTCTGCCCAAATTGAACAGATCGAACCTTGCATAGCTTAAACTGCAAACAAGGGGAAAAAAGCAAATCACTAGAAAGAAAATGTACATAAAAACATTGAAACGAGATCCAAATACTCAAATGAGTCAATTGGCATCTCAAGAGACTCGTGTCTGTGTGTATAAAACTATAAATAATTATGTTCTGCCAGCATTCCACACCTCCTTTAGCAGTGCAGCAGTGTCAATGTACATTGGTAAATGGTGATGAGTTTAACATATAAAACCAATACTTTTTTCATAAGAATTAACATTAGAGAGATTATGCAATATTAGACAGACCTTTGCCTCTTCATCCCTTACAAAGTGGAGACGGAAACGTCCCTTTGTGTCATACAGAAGACGGAAACTTTCGTTTGTTTTGGGAATAGAAACAACATCTGATAACAGCCAGAGACTAGAACCAATTAATCACCAAGGAATGTAAAATCAAAAGCGTTTTCACAGTATTGTCTGCCATCAACAAGAACATGGCGCTGCATCAAGATGGCAATAACTTCTCTATATGTTAGAGCATACTTTAGTCTGTTTCGCAGGATAAGGATCAAAGGCAGGCACTCCCTTGACTTGTGGGGTCCAGATGATGGCTTGGGTGCCTGCACACGCATCCCAAATGAGTATATGAGTTCAAATGGAAATTACAAAACAAAAAAAAAAAAAAGAACAACTTAATATCACAAGGAGTGCTAAGAACATAATCTCTGTTAAGTTGAATTTTATTGAAGACAACAAAATAAAAAGTGAGAATTATTAATTTGAGAGTGAAACACACATGATTCTTGTGATTTTTGATAAATTTTAGTCAATAATAAAAAATGTATTTGAAAGAATGTGTTAGAAAGTGTGTTGTTAACATTTCCCTAATATTACTAACACAAGAGCAGCGAATAATGTACATACAAAAGCACCACCAAGCTTGTCGAGCATCCAATGTTTTGGAGCATTGAGCCTCTTCAAGTGTTTCTTCAACCCTCTAGACTGAATAATACACCAAGCAATAAATCATCATAAACCAGTGTTTCAAAAACTAGACCGAACCGTCTAGTCTGACCAGAGAAACCTTAATTTGACAACTGCCCTCGGAATCATTGAACTTGCAAATAATCAGTGAACCGCACAAACCAAAACCAAGCTTAAATGCCAGAATTTTACAATGCAAGACTCAAACCACAGTTCACTATTAAACAAATGGTTTCACTATTTCCATAACCAATTAAGGCTTCAAAATATTGGCGCAAATAAATCATTGAGTAAAATGCATCCATTAGTTTTGAAACGAAAAGCTCACCATATTGGAGGGTTTTGGTGCTCAGAAAAGAAAGTTGCTCTTCTGCGTTTGTGCCAATGAAGGATGAGCGACAAACCCATAACCCAAAACGCTAGCTGGATTCTATAATTAAACCAAACTGTTTTTGAGAACTCTCAAATTATTATTATTTACTATATAAATCCTCCATAAGTTACAAAAAAATCTATAAAACTTTTTGTTGAAATACAATTTCTATTACTATTTACTATCCCTTCCATTTTAAATTAATTTTCAATTTTAGCTATTGTTTTCATATTAAGTGACATTTTAGGGTTTTGATAAAAATAATAATTATTTTATCCCAAATAAATTATGAATATAATGATTTTTACATATTTTGTGAGTTAAATTTTTAGTAAATAAACAAACAATTAATAAGAACTAGTCAGTAGCTTTAGTAATGTATATATACTTCATTTTAAAATGAATATATACAATATATAATGAAATTATTCTATAACTTTTTTGAAAAATTAGTTTAACTTAATTCTGATCACAGATTGTATGTATCAAAATTATTAAAGTTTAATAAAATTATAATAATTTTAAAATATGATTTATTTTAAAATAATAAAGATAATATATTAAGTATTATAAATTTTATAAAAACAAACATAATTACAAAAAAAAAATTAGAAGTTTCTGCAGGATAATAAAAAAATTATAAATGCAAACATAGAAATTCGCAGAAAATATTAAAATTTATCTAAAGTAATAAAAGAAACTTAAATATTAATTTTTTTTTCTAAAATTTAGAATAAAATTTATAAAAGCAAAAACGAAAAAAATAAAAGAATTGCAATAAATGAAAATGTAATTTATATGTTATTTTTGGATAATTTTTATCTTAAAAAGTATACATGACAAGCTGTGAAAAATTCTAATAAATATTTATAATTAGTGTACTAATTAAGGTGTTTATTACTTAATCTTTGTGAAAACAATGTTAAAAGCAATCAATTTAAAATAAAAGAAATGCTATTTACTGAACATTAAACACTAAATACGATAAAAATTTATACCTTTTACTGTTAACTTCTATCATACCTTGTCAAATGATCCCCAATCCCTAAATGATTTGACATTTTTTTTTTAAAACCAGTTCAACTACAATGTTTTGAAGATTTATTGTGATGACATACATCTTATGCTATACAACATATAGTTATTACAAATCCTGTTACACCCAGTTAAACAAAAACGTCCTGTTGAGATCGTGTTTAATGAATTAAATCAGATATTGCCCGATGCTAATAAAAACGGTAACTTATGAAAGACTTGTTTCCCGTTTAGTTTAAAGTTCAATAAAATTGATTTGTACTGTTCGATGTGATTAAAATACATACATAAATTAATCTAGACCATATATTTATATTATAACATTTATTTGTCTCTATTAAAAAGTATAATTTGTTTAACTTTAAAACAAAGAAGAACCTAACCATTATAACCAACCTTGCAATATCATTCGACCAAGGGTAGAAGTTAAGATTTTGAAAGCCCATTTAGATTGAAAGTTGAAGCTCATGACTTTCATTTCCAAAATAGCATGTTTATTTCAGTAACACCATGTGTCAGTCAAACCTCAAATAACTGGTGGAAACCTTCACCTTACTTCCCCCATTCCATTTTCATACTCAGTCAATAAGAGGGTAAATAAATTGCTTTTGATAATGATGTTACATTGGTCATTGGTCAGTAGCTCAAATTAATTAAATTTAAAATATTTTAACTTGTCACACACAATAGAATCTTACCATATGATCTGCAGAAATTATGTAAGAAATGATGCTATTTGTCATCTTTTCTCTCATTCCACTCATACTCTGGCAACCCAACTTTTTTCCGGGCTTCTCTTTTCTCTTTGGCTCTCTTCTTCAACAGTCTATCAACACTTTTTACATAATCCATCAATACCTTCTCCCTAATCTTGTCAAAGCCAGCAACTGTTTCCTCCATTTTCTCGTACAATTCAGTGTTAAGATCATCAAATAGCTTATACAACATCTGCAAATAATCGAAGAAAATGAAAATTCATGTTCCATAATAAGCAAGTTAATGCAATAAGTTAGGTAGTAGTTGTACAGGTACTTCAATGAAGTAGCACTCTAGCAGTGAGTTTAGGGCATTTGCCAAAATCTCATGCAAAATCATTTGAAAGTTTATTTGTTTATGTAAGAGGCAGCTACTGACAAACTGTTGTTATACAAATACAAATTTACCCTTTACTGAGGCTTTATACAGAAAACTTGCAATTGGTAAGGCAGATCACAACTATAAGGAAAATGTTAATATTAGTTCTTAAGACTGATTTTAAACAACTAAAAAGGTAAGTTTTTTCAATAAGTATAAAAGTGTAATAGATCTTTTCATTTTCAATAAAAACTCACTACTTTTAAATGTTTAAAACCAGTACTAAGGGATGATGTTAACAAAACTACAACTACAATCATATAAAAGAGAAAGAGAAGGTAATAACAAAAAGAAAACCTCAATATAGGTAATAAATGAATCCAAAATGCTTTGATGACAATGTTGTATGAACCAAGGCATACCTTAACGTCTTTATTCCAGTGCTGTAGATACGGGGGACCAGTGGTATATGAACCAAGTGGATCACGGTACCATTCACCGTTAAATGTTATTCGATCCATTGCTTGTTCCATGCTCAGAACTTCCCACGGCCTCAACCCTGGAATAATTTCAGCCAACTTCTTCCTACAGCACATGACCATCCACCCCAATCCAAATAAATAAATAAATAGAGGGAGGAAAGGAAGGGCAATAGTTAGAGGCCTAATTTGATTAAACTTCTAAAGAAGTTCCCTAGGAGAAGAAAACAAAAAATAAAATAAAATAAAATAAAGTTTTTCTCATAAGTTAAACTCAACTTATGCATCTTAACTTTTAGATAAATGAAAGAACTTCTTATACAAAACAAAGAGCAATTAGTTGAATTTAACTTATGGAATATATTTGATTAATCTTACTTCTTTAATTTTTTCTCTTATAAATAATTATCAACAAGTTAATCCAAATTAGGCAAGAATCCATAACAAAATTGCTGAATATAGCAATTACAATTCACCACTATTCCTGTTACAGTCCCAGCATGTGCATACCTGAGATATTTGGGAATGTATTTGTTGGGCATGTGATCCTGTTCCAACATATTGGTTAGTTCAGAGCCACTAGCCCAAAGAAATAGCGCATGACTTGGAATTCTAACTCCAGGCCAAATACCATCATTAGCTTCCAACACTGCTAAATCACGTCTCTTGCTTTCTATAGCCTCTTCTTGAAGCTGCTTGTAAGTCTTCTTCTCAAATCCCTTAAGAGGAACCCATGGTGGTATACCTTTTTGCAGTTTGTGAAGGAATGCTGTTGCTGAAGCAGCAAGTCTAACTAAAAGGATTGCCAAACCAAGAATAAGATTTTATCAAATACCAAAGCATACAGTCTTACCAGCTTGGTTTCATATACTGTATTTTTAAAAATAAAAAAGATTGATCATTACTTGTTGAAGAATGTTCGGAAGCTTATGCACACATGAATTGTGTTACGAATCCAAATAGGCCACATGGATGAGAAGAACAGATGGGCCCACAATGATTTGGAAAGTTTATAGGACAAAAGAATAAGGAATGAGGGGAGAATGATGAGCTGGAGGAGAGTAAGGGCATAGTGAAAGTTGGATGGGAGGATCAAAAATAGGAAAGGGAGAGAGAAGGTATTCGGAAAAGAGAATTATGGAGTTAGTTAAGGATATAGAAAATACTTCTCTATAGGAGCTTCAGCTCTGAGACAGTAGTGTGTATTGCTGCTGTAATTCTTCCCTCATCAGTGTTATAATCCATTTTATTTCAGCATTCATATTGCTTTTGCTGTTATTTTCCTTCTTATTGAGTATAGCTCTGTAACAAATTGACTTCAATATATGTTCTATTTGAACTAAGATTCTACTGTTTTTGCTGCAAAGTGTTAAAGAGACAGTGTTATTAAGATTTTCATTTAAAACTGTTTTCTAAGTATATTCCAATTTTAGCATGCTGTAATGGATCATTTTTCAAGGACATGTTCAAGATCGCCTAATTCTCCCTTTGACTGATCATTTACTGAGAGAGGATAAAACCATAAAATATGAAATACTTTAAAGAATAATTCCTACAATCTCTTAATTTTTTTCTCAGGGCAGAATGGTCAGAGAGAGAAGCCGACATTGATATATATAGGGCAGGCAGAGCAAAAAATACCATACAGCCATACAGGTTCAACTTTTTCACTGTAACTTGTCTTTTAGTCTCGTATCTTTCCAACTTGTGGGCTTAAAAAGCATTCTACTTTCTAATTCTATTCATGAATCGTCATAAACAAAGGTGCCAAAATAGTCACAAGACATACTATAATGTTCAAGTTTATAAATTCCCCCACAGACTCTGCTAGATCAAAAAATTTAATCATCAAAGAATATATATTTGAGAAAGAAAAAGAAATGGAACACAACAGACCTTCCCAGGTAGCGATTGCCCGCTCCATTCCGTAAATCATGTGGATGGGAGCCCATTCATCCATATCTTCACCCCAAATGAAGGTGTTCTTATCAATAATGCCAGCACCCCACGCGGTTTTAAGAGTAATTAACTCTAGCGGTCCTCGTGTGCGACCCAGCCGATCCTTATAGTACCATCCACCACTCCTCATGATAACTAAACCAGTTAGAAAAGGTATCAGCATCATGCAACAAACATCCATAAAACAATGTATAGGCAAATCAATTAATAAAATATTTATGTCCAAAGTTTAATATTCCCTTGGGTCCTATTTATAAGAAATAACTACCACTATTTTTAATTACTTAAAATTCTTCCTAAGGACTGAACTTAACATTTTTTCAAAAAATCACCTTAAAATGAAACATCCACTGAGGCTCCATTTGAAAGAACTTGATACTTTTTAAAGTTTTTTTTTTTTACCTTGATTCAAAGTTATTGAGTATAGCTTATCATATTAAGCTTCTCTTAACTGAATTCAGGAAGTTTTACAGTCAAATATACGTGCTTTCATGCTAAAAAAATGCTTCTTGAAAATACAGTCCTAAACAGATTTCCACAGTCAGATGTCAAAAGCAGGAATGAGAAGAAACCCATGGAACTTACAGTCATAATAGCGCCTCTCGAGATTCTTATACCCAATGGATTGGGCGGCATCGTTGGGCTTGCCGGGAGGGTAAGGCCTCTGCCAAAAATTCCAAAGCCCAAAAAAGAACTGCCTGGCAAAATCCCAAAACACATCATCAGCCTCCTTCTTGGTTTTGAGGGCCTTCCTGGGCATGGGTCTTCCATCAAGCCCAATAACATGCGGAACTTCCTTCCACAGCTCCCAATCCTCCTTGTGGTACGGCTTCTCATTCGCCTTCAACTCCAACTCGTTCATCTTATCCGCAATCTCCTCTGCGCGCATCAAAAACTGCACAACGGGACTGTTCTTCAGCTTCTCTATCCACTCCTCGTTCTCTTTGATCTCTTCTTCGGTCGCGTTTTCGCGTATCTCGAAAACGGGGTTGTCGTTTAGGATTTTTTCGACCTCAGGGGTGTGTCTGTAGTCGGGGAGGTTATCGCATTCCCAGAGGAATTGGTGGACCATTTGTTCGTTTGGACCGGGTTCGGTGTCGTTTTTCTTTGGTTTTCTTCGGAAGATGTTTGGGAGAGAGATGGCGGCGAAGTTGGGTTGGGGGGAACATGGTTCGGAGAAATGGAGAATGTTGTGTAAGGGAGGGAGAGAGAGAGGGTTTGGGGGTTTGGAGAACCAGTTTCCCCCTAAAGGGTTGAAGTTGATGGAAGCCATGAAGGGGAGAATATGGATAAATGGGGTTTAAGTGTTTAATTTGGGGATAGGTTGAGTTTGAAAAAAAAAAAAAAAAAAGGATAAAATTGAAAATGAAGGAATGAGTTGAATAGCAGAGTAGAGTGAAAAGTGGATAGTGGGAAGAAGAATACACGTTGAAAGCGGGCCGAAGAATACATGATTCAGCCTGGAAAAGGTGTATTTGGGCTCAAATTATGTGTACATGGGTTTTTCATTTTGAAACTTGTTTACCGAATATAAAATGTTCTTCTTCAAGCTACTAACAGAGTTTTTTTATTTTAAAAAATATCAATACTAGGATTAAATTAAATATTATTTCATATATTTTTTTATTTGTTTTATTTCTAAAAATATTTATATTTTTATTTATTATGTTCAAGAAAATATTAATAATTTTTTATTAATAATTTTATTTATTTATTTCTAAATTGTGGGTGATGCTCCAAAAGACCTCGCTTCTTTAATATTATGTGAGTTTTGTTCTTGAGGGTGTGTGTTACTAAATGTGCTAGCACCGCACTGGGGTGATTTTTGAACCCTTTGAAAAGGTCAAGAAGGAATTTTTTTCTCTTCCAGTGGCACATCATGTTTCCTTGGCTTGTCAGAATTATGCTCCTGAAGTTGCAATCAATGAGCAGATAAAGTTTTTTTTTTCATTTTCATTCTTTTTAAGTTAATTAATATTGGGGTTAATGAGTCATGAACAAATTTAGTCTAGTTTTATTTTGCTTTATATTGTTTTCTTGGTTGTATTTTGTAAAGAACTAAAGATCCATTTTTCTAGTTTTCTTTTTTTTTCAGATTCAGTCGTTCATATCTTACTTAAATTTATGTGTACCCTTGTTTTTTCGATTGAGAGTCATTTTGTTTAAGCATTTTTGTATGAGAAGTAGCATTTATTTAAATATTTTTAATAAAGTGAAGAGATATAGGAAGAGAAGAGAGGGATCGCATGTAGTTTTGGCAGAAACTGTAGGCTGCAGTTTCTCGTTCGCTTAAGCCAAAAAAACTTGTTTAAGCGAATTTAGAAAGAATGGCAAAAAAAAAAAAAGAAGAAGAGAGAAAATGAAGCTGAAAGGAAGATGAGAGCAAGAGCACAAAGGAGAGGGAGAGCGGGAAAAGGCTAATAGGGGAAGGAAAAAGGGCTGGATGAGGAGAGAAGGGGAGGGGAATGAGTGGGGGTGAAGGGGAGGGAAGGGGAGGAGAGAGGGAGAAGGAGACTGGGTGAGAATGAAGTAAGAAGAGATGGGGAAGGAGAAGAAAGAAAGAGACTGAGTGAGAGGGAGGGAGGAAGAGGGTGGCTGGATTGGAAAGAGAGAGAAATGGGAGGGGCTGGGTGGAAGAGGGGAAAGAATTGAGAATTGTTAGGTGAGAAGGAGGAGTTGAGTGAGAGGGAAGGAAAGAGAGGAGAGGAGGAGGGGCTGAATGAGTGGGTGAAAGAGAGGGAGCCAGAATAACAAAAGAGAAAGAAATGTTTTCTTCTTTTTACGTATTTTTGATTAAGCGAATCCAGAAGGAAGAAGATGTTGCAGTGTATTTTTCTTTTCGCTTAAGCGAACGAGAAACTATAGTCTGCAGTTCCCGCCAAAACTGCAGGCGATCCGGGTCCGAGAAGAGAGAAAATGAGGGGATAAAGAGACAAAGTATTTGTTAGTTGTAGAAATTTATTGAGAAAATATTATAATATTTTTTTGTTTCTCCAATTTGAATACAGTGTGAAATACAACGTTTCCTATATGTACCATTCCATGTATGCATGCTTCGACCAGGACAACATAGCTCTCAAAGGACTTGCCAAGTAAATAACTCAACATGCTTCCTCTCGTTATTTAATTTGTTTCTCTAATGGGTTTTTAATTTCATATGCTATTATGTTGACAATAGGTTTTTTAAGGAATCAAGTGAAGAAAGAGGGCATGCTGAAAAGCTTATGAAATATCAGGTTGGTCTATTTTCTCTCAGAATTTGAGCATATAGAAAAAAGGGATGCATTGTATGGTGAGTTTTCTGTTTTCATTACTCAAATTTCTATATTTTCAGTTACCTTAATCATTTTGTTTGCAGCTTGAAACAATGTTGTTGTAAAGTTATGCTATACATTTTCATTGATCATATTTTTGTGTTTCAACTATTTTTTATATTAACATGTTTTCCTATTTTCCCCATTTTGGTCTCTTTTAGCTATGGAATTAGCTTTGTCTTTGGAGAAGTTGACAAATGAAAAACTTCTCCATGTTCACAGTATGTAATGCTTTTTTGCCTTTAGCTTTGGTTTGAATTATGTTCTCATTGACTAAAATTATTTTATAAAAGTCAATCAATCTAAGATTTATGATTATTTTTTATTGCTTAGGCTGTGTCTTGTTGAAATAATTTTTCCTTTTCCTCGTGAAAATTAGGTGGCAGAAATTAACCATGATGTTCAACTGACAGACTTCATTGAGAGCGATTTTTTGTATGAACAAGTAGAACATGACTAAATTTGTGGTGTTGAATTCATAATACAATTGAGATTTATTAATATTTAAAATTTTTGTACATTTTAAAAAGTAAAATAGGGGGATAAACTTAAAAAGGAGGTCAATGAAACAAATTTTTTTTCCTATACTTGATATAAAAGAAATAATATTTTATGATTGATAAAATTTTATTTCCTTGTTATGAATATGGTTTTCAAGTCATGAGACTTTGTTGTTTAATGAACTAGTCTTTTGATACATACAACTCTTTCACTTAATACACTAATCTTATCATGTCCTTAAATCATAATAGACTTAGGGTACATATTTATATATGATATAATTTGATAAATCTCTTTTTCCAAAAAGTAGCTAACTGTTTCTCACAGAATAATAGTCACTATCAAAGTCATAAGTGTATGATTTCTCAAAAATTTTAATTTTTTTTTCCTCTTATGCACTTTCCTTTCAACCAAATAAGAACTTTTTTACTTTGTGCTAAAGTCAGGTGTGAAATATGGATGATTCTATTGGGTGATTTTACAGTCCTCCTATTTGTTGCAAAAAGTAAGAAAAATAATTTTCAATAAAAAAAAATGTAAATCATTTTAAACTGTTAATTTTTTTATGTAGTAAATAGATGACTAAAGATTTCAATAGAAAAAGAAAATAACTAGATGATTAACCTATATGAAATGTTAGTATTAAAGGGTAGAAAAGTAAAATGCTCTGATTATATATTTGTATCGTTGACTGTGAGTAACGCATAGGAGTTACATTGTTTAATTAATTATATTGTTGTAAGCATAAGTTAACCTTTTTTTTTTAATATTATACATTCTACATCTATTTTGCTATCAGACAAGCAATGGTAGTAGCAAAATTTTCAAAATGCAGGAGTAATACAACAATTACTACAACCACAGAATCCAGAGAAAGTATTCAATCTTGAGCAAGTACTTTTACAACTAACACAAACTACAAACTGGTTCATGCAGGATACAAGCACCAGAATGACTAAACAAGAAAATTTTATGAAGAATCTGAAAAATCAGATAGGGCAAATTATTAAAAAAATTAGTGAACTTGCTCAAGGATCATTCTCTGGAAATATAGTGAAAAATCCAAGAGAACATTGTCAAGCCATAACCACTAGAAGCAGGAAAGTTGGAAAGTTATAGAACTATAGCACAAGAAGAAAAGAAGAATGAAGAGAGTGAACCAGAGCAATGACAGAATGATGAAGAGGGAATTCAACCTAAGCAAAAGTTGGTGATAGATGAAGTATACTGAAATAGAGCGAAAAAACATAGTTTGGAAGATTCCTTTAAACACCAAGTTTCACCACAGTATGTCAAATTGCCTTATCTACATTTGAAAAAAAATAAGGGGAAGGAGGAGCAATATTTCAAGTTTCTAGATATCTTTAAGATGCTACAAATTAATATACCATTTGCTAAAGCTCTAGAGCAGATGCCTTGCTATGAAAAATTCATGAATGATCTCCTCTCCAAGAAAAGGAAGTTAAAAGAGGATACTACCATTGCATTACCTAAATTGAAAAACCCAAGCAGTTTCACAATTCCCTACACAATTGGGAATATCATTATAAGCAAAGCACTGTGTGACTTAGGAGCTAGCATAAACTTCATGTCATTGCTAATACTAAAAAAGCTTGGAATAGGTGAAGTAAAAAGCACAAGGATGGCTCTCTAACTTATTGACTGTTCCATCATGTACCTTATGGTGTGATGGAAGATATGCTAATAAAGGTGGCTAAATTATTTTTTTTGACAAATTTTGTGGTGCTAGATATGAATGAAGATATCAAAATGCCACTGATTTTAGGAAGACCCTTTTTGGCTACTGGTTGAGCACTTATTGATGTGTAGCAAGGACAATTAATGTTGTGGGTATATGATGAGAAAGTCACAATCAATGTATTCGAAGTAATGCAGCAGCACACTGATGATAAAGATACTTGTTATAGAGTAGATATGGTGGATTCACTAATTACAGCAACAAATTTGATGCAGAAAGTTTCTACAGATCCATTAGAAAAGGTTGTAGTTAATGCTATAATGAAGGATGATGAAGAAAGTGATAGTGATATGTAGGAGTGTGGGCAACAGTTAAAAGCACAACTAATTTTATAGAGAAGTTCAATAGGAGAATCATTTAAAGGAGGGAGAGTGGAAAAATCACTAAAGCTTAAGTTGAAATATCTACCCTCACACTTAAAATATGTTTTTTTAGAAAAGACATTTGCTGTTATAATAAACATCACACTCTCAAAGTTGGATGAAGAGAAGTTATTAAGAGTATTAAGGGGGCAAGTAACACAAAAAAGAGAAATTCCTAAGCTATACAAGTTGGAGTTTGGAGCACGACTTAACTCAATCATCTAAAAACCATTGCTACACTAATGTTTTGCAGGCTAGAAAAACATTGCCTTTTTGTTGCAGGATATACTAGTCAGGCAGCAAGAAAGTTTCATGTCTCTGATTGCTCAAAATACTCAAGGGAGTCTCTTTGTAAGTTTAATTGTTTACTGCACTTTTGAGCACATTCTATATAATCATTTTTCTTTACTTGTGTAACACCCCAAATTTTTCTCATTTCATAAATAATTT